GTTCTATTTTCTCGGAATTTAACATTTATAAGCTGTTAAAACGTTCCTAAGACTTCTATTTAGATTCTGAATTCATAATTATTTAGTCGAATATTTATCTGTTTAATGGTTTGAATGTCAGTGTTATTTTAATAATATTTTTTTAATGAATATGCAGTTATGGTTTTAGGTTATCTTCATTTTGGCTACGTATGCGACTGTGTATCTTATGTACTTCAAGTTCAAAGCAACCTATGACCGAAACCACGACACTTTTCGTATCGAGTTTTTGCTGGTACCCTCAGCAGTGATGTCGTTGATAATCACCCACGAATATACGATAATGGAGGTAACGAAAGTCAGACTGTATGACACTGTGTTATTGCGGCAAGCAAATTAGTTTATAAATTTTAGATCGACATGCTTATTTGATTTTAGTTTTCTGTTGAATTTTAAAAGCTGCATTATTTACGCATTAAAATTCAAATACATGTGAATTTCTAATGTTTATATATATTGTCTTTTATGTTTTATTTTGAAGCGTTAAGCGGGAGCAGTAAAAGGTATCTAAAATCATACAAATCCTCTTCCCGTCCTGCGCGCATCCTTGGCATTTCACTGCTTTAGTGACAATTACAGTTACATTCAGAAACTGCGTTGTAATTATCTTACTTTTTATTTGTTTGAAATGTATTCACTTCACTGATGTGCCTTTTAGACTAATTCTACTTGCATTTGGTATCAATGGTGATAGATTCCATGAATCAAGTGTGATATTGTTCTTGAACTGAATGTTAACGAAGTAGTTATGACTATTAATAGATCTTGTTCCAGAGTGAGGCTGAGATTTTTATAAGGTGTTCCCTGAAGGGTTGCGCCAGTGGAAATTAGTGTTTATCACGGTTACAGTATGATAGCATTCGTTTAATAATGACGGTCTTTCTGGAATAAGTCTTTAGAAGAAAAGATGTCGTGGAGGTTTCGCTTAAAGCTGAATAGTTATGTGAATGGCGATAGAAAAATTTACTATGCAACGGAGATGAAGATGATAGAATTCTTCGTCAGAAAATAGTGCCTGGCGGGTTTGAATGACCCCTTGACAGCTAGGAACTAGGTAACAGTACAGTACACTGTAAAACCTGGTATTGAGGAGTTATGCATATATGCCGCCATTTCTGGTGTTTCTCTACAATCTGACTTTATTTGAAGCTAAATTTTACTCCGGAGTAATCGCCATCTCCACCCCGACATGTAATCTCACTTTTTTCACTGGTTATATAGTATCAGCTGCTACCATTTCTTTCCGGCACCGTAGGTTAATCATTTTTTATCTGATCAGATGTTTGGAGTGTACTCTTATGAACAGTGTTTAAACAATGACAGGTCGCTTCTTGTTCAGGTTAGAATAGATTTGCGCAGCTGTTCGATCCAGATCAAAAAGGATATGAGCGGCCTACGAATTTCAAATATAAGATTAAACTGTTTACCCTTTGGTTTGTTGTATTTTCCCATACCAGTAACATGCAGATAGATTTTCATGTTGCCTCTGCAAAATCATTGGTCACGTTATTTTGTAGAGGTTCGTTCTGTGACGTCTGTTGTAAAGTTGTAAATATTTAGGTGCTGTGGACCTTCAGCATTTACTTGGAAGCGGTTGCCATACTTCCCCAATTGTTCTTGCTGTCGAAAACGGGTGAAGCTGAAACTATTACCAGCCACTATTTGTTTGCTTTGGGATCATATCGCGCACTTTACATATTAAACTGGATTTATCGTTATTACGTGGAAGAATTTTTTGATCCAATTGCTGTTGTGGCCGGATGCGTTCAGACCATACTGTACGCTGACTTCTTCTATTTATACGTTACACGAGGTGAGTTGTTTTTTGTAAAACGTTGAATAATTCTGAATATGCATAACTATTAATAAGTTGATAGAAATGAAGCATCGAATCTATATTAAGTTATGGAGCTTTTGGAACCTGAAGCGATGTTCATTTTCAGCGTACAGCAGTAGGAGCATAGAGTAGTAAATCCCTTTACGGGCTTTGTAATCGTCAGCTGTTAAAGTTTTACTTGTCGCTTGAATTGGACTCAGGTATCATCAAATGGATGAATGTGTATTCATAATAAAACAGCCTTAACAGTCTTATACGGAAAAGATCCGCCATGATTCACAGCGATGTTTTGCATCTACGCTACACCAGCGGTTTTAAATGAGGAAGATTCTCTATAACGTGTCATTTAGATGTAAGGGTAACTGCCTTCATGTCTTTTTGCTAACTTGTTTGTTTTCTTCATCCATCAGTTATAGATTAGTGATGTATTTCATTACAAAAAATAGATATCAGCTAAATTTTGTTGTTTCATTTCACCGAACTAGATTAGAAGGCAAACTGGGATTCTGCGAAGTTCATTACGAAATGGATTCGTGATTACCAACGTATGTCTTCAGTATCTAATTAAACATTGCTTCGCTTGCCATGGGTCCTGCATATTTAATCCTGCTTGCTGAAAATTTTTTTTCACAGTTCTCATGTAGGTATGAAATCATTAAATTGATCTCACTGACTGATTATCCATTAAGCGTCGCATAACTGCGTTGTTTCCAGAAGCAGTGTGATGTCTCTTGGTGTTGTTTTACAGTTGGTTGCTCGTGTCGGTTTAAGACTACATATAGAGAAGGACTAAATTTAACTTTAATGCTGTGCTGTTTGCTGCTGTTCTGATAGTCATATTTTTGTTTTGTATTTTTAGTTCTGAAAGGAAAGAAGATTCAACTTCCTGCTTGAGTCATAGATCAGCGTTAGATGGATTTTACAGTTGTTCCCTAATGTTTCTTAAAATTTCGTTGACTTTTTGTTGCGTCTGTGAGTGTTGAATTTGTATCACAACGGTACTCTTCTGGAACAGTAATTTATTTGGTTTCAGTGTTCTTAATTCTTTGATTTCGCATAATGTATGCACTTGATGAACAACTGCAGGTGCTTTTGTTGCATTTTTAACATGTAATAGATTTGGAGTGTCATCGGAAGTAGAAAAGGCTTTCGCTTTTATGAGTTTTTATTCTGTTCAGTAAAGATTCGCTAACGATTTGCGCGAACTTTGTTTTCTTGAACAGAAGAGAAAATCCAGTGTGTTTGGGGGGTGCATTTCAGTTTTTGCCAAAGTATTCACGTTTTGTACAAAAATGAATTCGTCATTATCTTGGTTATTCGTTTCCTGATTGTGAGCGACCATCTTCCCCAATTTGTTGTTTCTTTCAGCAAAAGTTAAGACTTTATTTAAAAAAATGCTGTTCTAAATCATCTGCATTGACATTTTGGACGGTTCATTTCCGAAAGTAAAAAGGCATCGTTAAAATAATTCATAGTTCTGGTTGTTTGGAAGCTCGTTCTATTGCTTGAAAAGTGCGAAAGAGCTTATCGTAACTTGAAGCTGCCTGATATGTGTGATGTGGAACACTTAAACACTCTACGGGTCAAAAATTGATACTTGTTATAAAAGTAGTTGCAGCAGGGTGAATGACCTTATAAACGATCAGTCACTTTCTATGATCGGTGATGCTCTCAGGTTGCTGTGCAAGTGCATCAGACGACTATGTTTCAAATGTTTCCGATAATGTGCCAACGTTTAAGCTGTAGCAGAAGGTAATTCGAATCTGTAGCATACTCTGCAAAGGCATCCATTCATGCTTGAAGATCCTTGTGATTTTCGGTCTGTTTTTTGGGCAAATAGTAGTTGTTAATCCTTTTCTGAAAAAATTCGCAGGACGTGTGAAAACCATCGCATTTGTAACTTTGCAATCAGCCGAAGCAGCGTCTATACATCAAGGCTCTCGGATACCTGTACTTTAGTCACAATGAATCGGTTTAGTTCAACTCAACCTGAACATCGCTCTCCGTTACGATTCGCTGGTTCACCTCCTCACATTTTCCATGACCCTTACATGCTAACTTCACCAATTACAATGCTTCCTCATTTATCTGCACAGCGCAGCGAGGAAAGTTGGTCACCGTTGTCTTCCTTCACCCTTACGATTGAGCCATTTTGACGCTTTTTTCAATGAAGTTGATTATGTGGTGCTGATCTGCGTTTTTGTACCATCAGCCACAAGTTCTTTATTTTTTAAAGTCTGAGTCTACAGTTATGTGGCAGACTTAGCGTATAATCTCGTTTGCTCCAACAGAGTGGTACTTATTTATCAACGTCGGAAGGAAAAGGGCAAGTGACCTTGAGTAATGCTCTAACTCAGGACCTATCGGTTCTATGTTCGACACCCTACCGACTGATGGACCCCCGTCTGACGCAAAGTGTGGTAAATTTCTTGCTTAAAGGAATTCGAGAATAATGCCGATTTCCATCGAGGGAATCGAACCCTGCACCTCCACGATTCGAAACGGATCGTTTAGACATTGTGTTACAACGCACTCGATTGTGAACGTTTCCAGCGAGCGCTAGAGATCAGAGAAGATGCCTACAAAACAAGATCGTCTATAGAACATCATCCTCGTTAGCACATAACCTGTGCTAGGATACACTTCGCCTGATTATCTTATCCCTGTATAGACGGGATAGGAGAGGTGAGCGAGCATCCTTACAGGAGACCAGTTCCTAATCTCGACTTACTGCCTGGCTCGTAACAACTGCTCATCGGTACAACACCTATGCAAGAGCAATAATAGTTTGTTTCGCGGGATTCAGAGATGGGACTTTCTTCTGGTCAACAGAGCACGTCAACCGAATGCACGAACTGCTACTGTTTCTCAGCACCCGGCCTTCAGGGGAAAATTTGGTCAGAGGTGATTCAGCCTCTGCAAAATATATTTTACATATAGTTATATGAATATTTTAATGCTATGGATTTCTTTGGCTTTATGTATGAAACTATTTTTTGGCAACCTTGTCACTTAAGCTTGCCACTTTATCTGTTTTCCTGCCATTTGGCACAAATTA